GTTGTATGTATGTATGTTTATCTATGCATAAGTGGTAAGGTATAAAATGCTTTACAAAAATATAAAACAAATGTATGCAAATTACAACAAATTAATAAACTATTGAGTAATAAATTTGAAAATATGAAAATTTAAGCATGCACTCTATAAACTTGAATTACTTTCTACCATTAATACGTAACATAATTCTACTACTGTCTATAAAAACGTATTGTATTCGTCTAAATAAAATTAAAAATCATGGCTTTGTCTTTGTCTACTAATTAATATATTTATTTTTTTGTTAATTTATTTATTTATCTATCAATTGTATACTGTACTTGTATTATGTGTGTGCGTGTGTGTGTGTATATAATATAAAAAATACTTAAAATATTTCTACTTCTTATACTTCCTTTACATAATATATACATATATATAGAATTAAATATACATTTTAGTAATTATAATATCCTCCCACACATATGATAAACTATTTTTGTATTGTTATTATAGAAATTAAATAGTTTTCCCAAATTTTTTTTTTCAAAATTCTTTGTAAAATTGTTGAATTTTTCTCTTGTCTGCGGCTGAAATTCTTATTTCTTTCTTCTTTGTTTATTAAAATATTTAATTAAAAAAATGTTTTTCTACATAACGTTTCTAATAAATGTGATTTTTTTTTAAATAAAAACTAATTTCTATTTGCTATGCCTAAATATAATTACATATTAAAGATTTACATACCAGGGTGTATTATTAAAAATTTAACTTCTTTTTTGTTGTTGATAACTTTCCAACTCTTAACTTTGAGTGAGTTTAAGAAAATTATAACAAAACAATGTACAACAACCAACAACCGAATACCAACCAACAGAAAAAGTACACAAGTATATTCATGTACATTCAAATAAATTAAGTCAATTTCAAAATATATTTTACAAAACTTATTTGATTCAAACATATTTCAATCATATGTCTCATCTCAAATTCATAATACACCAAAAAAATAGTTATTGGATTAAGAAACTTCATTTCACACACCCTTCAAACAACAACATTTCTAAAAGACACACATTACAATCAATTACATAAATGATATTGTAAAAAAAACAAAGCCGCAGAATGTTGTCAATGTGCAATAGTAGCTAGAATTTAAAAATGTAATAATTACAGTATCGGTCAAAACATATGGGACACAAGTAACACGTTACATATTTATGGAATAGAACTATTTTCTCTTTCTCCCTCTCTTATGAAGAAAAATGAACTTGAAAATTTCATACAGCAACACTTTTCTTATCACATTCATAACTTTAAAGTAATATTTAAAATATCATGGGAGTTTTGTGTTTGCCGACATTGAATCTATTGAGAAATCATAAAAAAGAGAAAAATCAAAATGAGTTGGATGGAAGCCTACACTCTTACCCGACACCAGTTATAAAATTAAAATGTGATTTAGTGTTCATAATAAAGCATTTAACCCTTTCACGCACAAAACTAAACCGTTGAGTCTTTTTATGGATATACCACACCACACACTTTATTTTGAAGAAGTGAAGTGTTTTCGAAGTATATCGCAGGGTATTATCCTTTTTAGCATGTAGTGACTTCAAATTCTAAAAAATAACTTATTTTTCTTTAGAAATAACCGTTTACAGTAGCTGTGAAATCAAAATTACGCTCTATATCGAGAAAAATGTAAAAAAAATTTGGGGGCAACAGTGTCCCGTATACGTGAAAGATTTAAGATGAATTGTCTCAGACATACTTTAACCATTTTCTGTTTTGTACATTTAAGTCATATTTCGAAGGGGGCTTTGTATAGGGGCTAGGGTCAAAAAATTCCCTATCATCAAAACATTCATCAGGGTCATGAAGGCTAGTGTAGAACTTGGTTTTTCAGCTTTTTGTCGAGATACGAGTATGTTGAACATAATTATGAACTTAAAAGCCCTATTCGGGGGTTTCAGTTGTATGGAGACTAGGTCAAATATCCCATTTTCAATAGGATTCGTCTCTAGTACAATAGAAGATCATGTGCAAAATTTCATTTAATTATCTTCGAAATAGCGACCTGTACTTTGATTACAAGGTTTATAAGCCCTTTTCGGGGTTCATTTGTATGGGGCCTAGGTGAAATAATGGACTGATCATAACCATTTTCAATAGGCTTCGTCACTGAGACAATGAAAGATCATGTACCAAATTTCATTAAATTATCTTCAAGGTTTACATAGACGGACAGACAGACAAACAGATATATAGACAGACAGAGAGACAGACAGACAGACATACAGACGGACAGAAAGGCGGATATAGCTAAATCGACTCAGAAAATGATTCTAAGCCGATTGGTATACTTTAAGGTGGGTAGAGGGCCAATATTATTGTGCGTTACAAACAAGCACAAACCCAATATTCCCTCCCCACTAAAGTGGTGTAATAAAGAATTTTTAACCAATTATGATTCCAATGAAAGTGATAAAAAAGTGCTGTTGTTAAAAAATTAGTGTTAAAATTTTATTATAGGAATGTCATTTTCTTTATAAAAGAGAAAATAATTGTGTGTCAATATGTTTTAATCGACACTGTATGTATTTAAAATCCTTCCAACTTTATTCCCTTTTAATAACTACTTCTTAGGTAGATAGTAGAAAAAAGAAAAATATTTTTATGTGTTAAACAGCTCCCATCCAAAAATATCATTAAGAAATTCAAAAAAATACAAGTTTGAACTTTTACTATAAAATGTTGGCAAAGAGGAAAATATAAATCCAAATGAAGTTTTGAAATTTGAATGCATCTTCAAAAAAGGTCTTTACGATATTTCAACGAAATTAAACAAAAAAGTAAAGATATACTGCCTTATGCAAAAACGATTAGTTAACAATATAGGTTTCATAAAATTTAACAAAAATTTGCCATTAAATATAAAAATTTTACCTAAGACCCTAAAACAAATCAAATCAAAATCATACTGAACTGCATTGTGACAGATCCAAAAAGTTACATTTATTTCAGTTTAAATGTAATTGACGTAATGTCGCATCCACTCTCTATAATCAATAAAATTTTGAGATTATGGGATATTACATTTTAATATTGTGAGCAGAGGCATTATTCTCAGCTTCTCTTTTCCAAAACTTCCCCAAAAAATACCTATATCTTTTAACAGAGGTAAATGCATACTAATATAACTTTTTTAGATAACACAAAAGGGGACAAAATTCAAATTTGAATGTTTTGAGTATTCTTATATTCCTAAAAGAAACATAAATATTTTACTATTACAAATGTATTCAGAGGTCAGTGCGTTGGTAATAGTTCCTTTCCGTCGATCATGTATTTTCGTTTCCTTTTGTGCCACAGTTTACCGATATTTGTTAATTGGAAGCAATTTAATTTACTTCAATGTCCTTGAACCGATTTATATTGATTTGTATGTGCGTTACCTAAATTGGGACTAAACAATTTGGTATTACGGGCCAAATTTTCGATAAGGAAGTCAGGGGAACATACATAATATACTATCGCGGGCAATTTCAATTTGCGGGACGTCTGAGTTGAAGTAGGGAATGAACACAATTAAGAAGACATTCTGATGGCAGCAAAAATACCACAATCATCAGAAAGAATTCCGAGTTTAATTTTAAACAAAGTAAATTTTAATAAATCATATTTTCAGAATGTATTCTTATTAGTAAAAGTTCAAACAATTTATACAATTTAGTTAGAAGTAAATACTTATGTATGTGAGTATAAAATATAGATGTAATTTCTTAATAAATATAATATTTAATATTCGTATTATAAATATATTTCTTTGGTATAAACGTATTTTTTAAAAACTTTTTAATTCGTGTACTAAAAGAGGAAAAACTCCACCATCACTAACATAGCTGTGTTTTTTTAATAAAAAGTATATTTATTTAATCGTATTCGTATTTTTGTAAATGTATTCTAATCGTTTATAACAAATTAGACGTTATTTTTTTATAACGTGCTATATTTGTAATTTAATCCTAACCATATTTACCCACTACTACTTACTACTACTACTGCTAATATTACTACTAAATACTACTACTACTACTACTAAATATTACTACTAAATCTAATTAATACTCATACGTACATTACATTAATTGTTGTAAGTTTGTTGTGTTCTGCGTGTGTAAAACTACTCAAATTCTGTGTTAAATCCTAAAAAACAAATGGAATTCAAACAAAAATTTCCTTTTTCTTTTTTTTCAAACCAACCACAACAATATAACGTTTTCTTGAATTGATCCTGGCCAACATCTAATGAATTCCAATCTATCAATTAATCAATCAATCAAATGAAAATGTGTTAATCTAATCCACCAACAAACGAACAAACAATCGATAATGGCTTAAATATGTGTGACCAAAATTTTATTGAAAAAATCTAATATGAAATGTATAAATTATCTAAAATCAACCAACAACTACAACTACAACAACAAATCTAAACAAAATATAAAACTTTGGCAAACATTTCCTCTTCCCTTTCAAAAAAATAAAAAAATAAATAAAATTTTAAATGTATGCACATTTAACACTTATGAAATTACTAAATATTACAAAATATATATTGACTAAAACAAATTCATAATTATGTCTCATAAAATGCGGCTTAATTGATGAATGACTTCAATGAATGATTAAATGTATGAATGAATGGTATGATTATGAAAATCATCAACGCCGTCTTGATAAACTAATACAAATCTTATATTAATTTATAAAAAAAAACAACAACAACAACTAACACTTATTAAATTAAAATGAATACAATCTAATCCGTATCATACAAACACAAATGTGCATGAAATTCATTACAACAACAAATGCATTAAAAAATCATTAATTCATAACAATTTAACAACCATTCTTCATGCCATTAAAATCACCTAAAAACAAACTAACACAAACACATAACCTCACATTTACATACACACTCACTCTATGACACTAATACACACAAACATTAGAAAAGCGCGAAAGTCGCAATAGATCCATAAACAATTGGCAACGTTTAACAAAAGCCCTACGACGATCGTTACCCACAGGGCACAATCTCTCACAGACGGATGGGAATAGCACGGAAGGCGATTCGACCAGTGGACGAAACCCGGCTACAACAGGAATTGGTTGCTATAAGAACTATGATCATGTCTCCAATCTAAGAAACTCTAATGTTCCACATGTAAGTATGCATTCTCTTGAATTTCGTCCTTTGTATCTCTTTTCTCTTTCTTTATGTCTCTCTTTCTCTTACTGTGTGTGTTTTTCAATCTCTTTTGTTTGAGTTTATGTTGTAATAACCCAAAAAATCTGTATGTACTACTAATAAATATGTCTCTACAAAATCTAGGTTGCATTATTAACTACAAGAAAAAAAGAAATGAAAAAAATACTAATAATTAAATGTTGCATGTTCCCCATTTGTATAAGGAGAGGGAACAACAGTTTGTGCCTTTTTAAATTGTTTAATTAATTGATTTGTTTTTGTTTACACCATACCTAGCTACGTTCTTCATCAGTACCTGATCATCATGATGCAGTCCCACCATACTCCTTTGAAAATCCCAATGCTCGTCAGACCTCTATGATGGCCATGGAAAGTTATAAACGCGAACAGCAGGCGTTGCAACAACAGCAGCAGCAACAACAACAACAACTGTTGCAATCTGCTTCACCAGCCCTCGCATTGCCCTCGAATGCAATTTCTACAAACGCACCAAATTCTGCGGCCTTAATACCAGCTCCACAAACGACATCTGGTCTTGTATCAGATGATGCTGCTGCCAATACCTCACAGGCTGGTGATGACAATGCTCCAACATCTATTATACCCGTCCAAATGATGATTAAACCAGGGGTAAGTTTCAATCATTAAGACGATCTATATAAATTACATATTCTCTTCTTCATTGAAAGAAGTTTTTATGTTGATCATGTATTTCCACATAAAAAAAAAAAAATAAATTGTCACAGTAAAAAATTAAAATCAAAAATCACATCAGATTTCATTTCTTTTTTCTCTATCTGTTTATCTTTAAATTTTATATAATTTAATTTCAAATATTTGTTAGTTGTAGTAAATAAATACAATAAACAGTACAATAAACCAAAAATAATACAATTAACAATTTACCGTTGTCATTAGCAATTAGCAACTGATACAATCAAATGATCCTTTTCGATCATTTATTATTTATGTTTGTGATCGGCAATAACACGGTAAAATGTTAAAAATTTAACTGTGCATAAGTCGATTGTATAATTAATTTTAAAGGTTTCAGCAGATTAGATTATAGACAGAGCCCTAAGCACTGCGACCCTGTTTTGGAACTTTTGTACAGCCCATGGGTTCATTATAACAGGTTTAAATCACGTATGAAAATAACAGGTTTGATTGGTGAGAGCACCTAAGATTCTTTCTCGACGAGTCCTTAGTGTTGGACATTTGCACAATATGTGTTCTGAGGTTTCCTCCTGACAGCCACAAAATCTGCATAGCTTCGATATGGAGTTTCCTAGGATGAATTGATGATATCTGAGACCACATTGTCCCGTGAGTAGTCCCATTAGTATTCTGAGATCACTTTTGTTAAGCGATAACAACTTGGGATTTTCCTCTTGATAGCGTTATTAGGCGTTTTGTCTAAGACTGATGTCAGAGTGGGCACTACAAGCAATGCGAAGCATTGCGCTACAAACCTTTCCTTGTCTTTTCCTACGTGTCATGTCAGAGTGAAAACGAATCTGATGCTAGAAAACACAAGCAAAAGTTTATACCGCAAAGCTTCGCATCGCTTGTAGCGCCCACTCTGACATCAGCCTAAGCCCTGTTGTTGCTTCCCAGTGGCGAGCAAATTCCGATTCGGCCCACGATACGCATCTTTGTCTGACTCAACCTTGAGGGATGCCAAAGAATGGTTCAGGGCTGATGATCGGCCCATTTGTTCCTTTCAGGTATCATAACCTCGAAGGAACGGTCAAAAACCAATGTGGGTCGTTGATAAACCAATATGGGTCGTTGATAAATAATTTGAATATACTTATGTATATGCCCTTCCAGGTCACTTGTTCTTAGGCTGGCGATTTCCGATAGGCGAATTGCCAATTTACAAGCCTCATCTTAAATAAGAATATCCAAATGTGGTATGTGAAGAATAGGCCCAAATGGCATATGTAGGACTTGTTCTCATGGCCCCCGTAATAGAGACGCAGACAAGACGATAAAGTTTGTCTATTTTCGGTTTTAAACCGCATGTATTCCCAAAGAGCCTTTGACAGGCATAAAATGCTCTAATGGCTCTATTGATCGTACTGGATACATGCGAGTTCCAATTTAGGGTTTTGCCAAGAATGATTAGCAGATAAAAATACATGAATATCAGTCGAATTGGTTTTAAACGTTTTTACAAATTTCGATGATCTTTGCAACTTTTCAAAATTTTACATGGCTCTATTGATCGTAGTGGACACATGCGAGTTCCAATTTAGGGTTTTGTCAAGAATGATTAGCAGATAAAAATACATTAATATCAGTCGAATTGGTTTTAAAAGTTTTTACAAATTTCGATGATCTTTGCAACTTTTCAAAATTGTATACCAACCTGCATCGCTACATTTATTGAAAATTTTATTGTTTTTATTGTTTAGCTTCCACATTATAGAAAATTTCGAAAGTACTATTTGAAAAAGGAAAATGTACTATAAAATACCTCTTAGAGATTCTCATTCAATGAAAAATTTTGTGTTTCTGTGTTGTGTTTCAAAAAATATAATTTGATGAACGAAAGAGTACTTAAATTCCCTTTCTTTATATTCTCATTTACTCAGGTATCCACATGTTAAATTTTATACTTCAATTCAAAAAGTACCATCAGAAAAACGAAAATGTTCAAAAATCTCTCACAATAAATTTTCATTTAATGTGAACCCTGTGTTCCATTTAAAGAATGGAAAAGCACCAAGGAGATCCTACTTATAGATTATTCTTCAGTCAGGATCATGCATGTTCTAATTTATGTTTCTAGGTTGAATATTTTACGAAATTCAAAAAGTACCATTTGAGAGATAAGAAGAACTAAAAAGATCTCTCTTTAAGAATCTTATTCAAAAAGAATCGTGTATGTTTAATAATCATGTATTTTGGATTCATTTTATACAACATACAAAGAGTATCATTTGAAGGAAGAAAAATTACCAAAAGTGGAAAGGTAGAATTTCCTTTGTGGAAAGTACAAAAAAAGAGTATCATTTTCCCCCATTTCGCCTAGGAATAGATTTTCCGAGAACTAAGTTTACATACAAACCTTTCCTTGTGTTATCCTATGTGTCATGTCAGAGTGAAAGCGAAGCTTGATGCGAGAAAACACAAACAAACGTTTGTAGCGCAAAGCTTCGAATCGCTTGTAGTGCCCACTCTGACATCAGCCTAAGTCCTGTTGTTGCTTTGCAGTGGCGAGCAAATTCCGATTCGACCTACGATACGCATCTTTGTCTGACTCAACCTTGAGGGATGCCAAAGAATGGTTCAGGGCTGATAAGTGGGCGATGAGCGCCTTTATTTGCTATTTTGGATTCATTTTATACAACATACAAAGAGTATCATTTGAAGGAAGAAAAATTACCAAAAGTGAAAGGTAGAATTTCCTTTGTGGAAAGTACAAAAAAAGAGTATAATTTTCTCCCATTTCGCCTAGGAATAGATTTTCCGAGAACTAAGTTTACTACATATTCCCTGTTTAAATCTATATATCACAAATAGAACTCAAACGATTCACAACATTTATTCTCATATATTTATATATATATTTAAACTTCTACTTTTAAACGATTCAAATCTGCATTCATTTGTTCCAGAAAAACTGTGCTTTCAAAAAGTACCAAACAATTTACCCGAATTTGGTCCTATATAGGGCTTAGTACCCGAATTTCAAAATAAAATAGCAATAGCATATTTTGTGTGAGTAAATTAACTATTTTTTCAAATTTTATAAAAATTGACTCAATGATTTGAATATATTAAATTTCCCGTTTTTCCCTTTTTGGTACTTTTCTCCCCATTGAAATAACAAATATTTTGTTTCAATAAATATTACAGAGTTAGTACGTAATTTAATATGTAATAGACTAAAAAAGTACCAAAAATACCCTTTTACACCAAAAAAGTACGAAACAGGTTTCTCATAGTTTTGGAAGATATATTCAAAATATTTACAAAAATGTTATTATTTTCATTAGTTAAAATGTTAAAAAGGGCCAAAAAAGGTACCAAAATCACCTTTGTTACACATTTTCACCCCTTAATAGTACGAATTTCAAAAAAGTACCAGACACCCATCTGCTTATTTTAAGAGTAGATACAGCTGCATTTAAAATGTGTCTTCTATCACTAATACTGTGTAAGATAATTAAGAGAACCTGTTTTACCCGTTTTTCCCTTTTTACCAATAATGTACAAATTTCCAAAATTCCTTCCTTAGTGGATCTACATAACAAAAAACACATCTGCTGTCAAAATTTTATGATTCCAGGTTTAGCCGTTTGGGCTGTGCGATGATTAATCAGTCAGTCAGTAACGAGACTCTTTTACATATAGTAGGGATATAGGCGAAACTGAAGGGGTTGTCAAACAAAATTTGTTATTCTCTTCACACAGACGAGTTCTGAGAGAATAAAACACACTTGAGAGAACTAAACTCACTCACAAAACTTCAAATTTTCTTCGCGAAATTGCGAGGATATTAGCACTTAATAGTTGTTCTTATCACTTAAACTTAATATTTATTATTTTTTGCGACACTTTTATTGTATTTAAAACCCCGAAAATAATTTATATTTTACAAACGAAAAAAAAATATATTTTTTATTCTTTGACATTTCATTTTAATTAAAACTCAAAAAAGAAAAGTTGTAAATTTTCGTATTGAAAATGAAAAAAGTATTTCACATACTTTTTTTCTTTTTCCATTAGTACAGAAAAAAATATCAAAAAGACGTGTTTATAATATGTTTTAAGATGAAATATCTTCTGAAGAAAATTAATTAACTATTATTTTCATTCACTAGTATATAAAATCCCAGTAATAATATACAAAAAATAACGTATCAGAAATACATTTATTATTTAGTACCTTTCGAACAACTGTGTTTACTTTTGTGCTTCTACTAATACATTCTCAGCAGTTAGGGACTTAGGTCTTTGACAATCACTTTCGCCTATATGCTACTATATGCTCTTTTATATATGGGTCATTTCGTGTCAAGTGACCCATCTTTAAAATTCGATGTCTTCCGATTTTGATGAAATTTGCACCAACGTTAGTACTATTGGATATTAGAAATTTTCAGCGCTATCGGTCCAGAACTGCCGGACTTAGAGGTGGCCAAAGTTGGAAACAATAAAGAAATAGCTATCTGAACTCCTTTGGGCAATTTTTGCTAGGGCCAATAGGTAAAAAGTTACACTCACTTGAATACAACCCTGTATGACCAAAATGCCTAAATGTCCTCTCTAAGTCCTGCAGTTCTGGACCGATAGCGCTGAAAATTTGTATCTGGCCTACTATCCCATAGTACTAACCTTGGAGCAAATTTCGTAAAAATCAATTTTTTGAGTTGGGTTACTTGATATGAAATTGCCCATATATAGATTGTCTAATTATTTTAATAGCGAACTCCAAAATTCCGTTGACATTACTTTGTGAAAAAATTTTGAATGACGCATTTTTTTTTAAATATGTCAAAATACTTTTGATTTTCACTTCTGTGCAGGAGAAATTTAAAACAGATTTGATCTAGTATTTGTACTTATCATACTTCTGACACCGCTTCGGATTGATTTGAGTACGGCTAACTAAATTA